TCACAAGTGTTGATTTAGTGCAGCAGGGGATGAGGTGCCAGCTGTAAAACTCAGACAATAATAGTAATAATGCTTGTGAAAAGTCTTATAATAAGAGGGAAAAATAAAAGGGTGTGAGGAGAAAAGGTAGGAAGGGTCCAGGTGGAGTGAGGAAGGGGAGCAGTGGCCCCTGTCGGGTGGTTGGGTACTCGGCTGCCCAAGGAACAGTGGGATGGGTAGGAGAGTAGACCATGAGCTAATTCTTCTCCTCCTCCCCAGTCTCTCTCCTTACAAGAAACTCCTGTGATTGACATTGAAGATGTTTTGTGTTTCTGTCAAACTGGGGAGTTATTTTGGAATAAAGTCCTGGTGGAAGTGGCGAAGGACTTAAAATATGACTGAGAGAGTGAGGGACACCTTGCTGTAGAGTCACTTAATATTTGCAAATGCAGATTTCTGGGTGAAAAGATATTTGATACCTCTATTCTTAAGCTGTATATTGCAGTCCATGGATATAGAGGATGGATTTTTTTAATATATACAAATAGTGTGTTGTTATTTAAAGCATATAAATTGCGAGTTCCTTCTAAATCAGCCCTGATTTAACCTCAGTAATGTTCCTAGAGGAAACAGTTTACAACTACTTTGTATCCAAGTGTTTAATAAGTTGTTGGCAAGACAAAGCTGAAAAAATTATTGTAGGTTATATTTACGAATCACTTTTTCTTTATTTTTATTCTGAACCAGTAACTCAGCAATTCATTATTTCCATGGCTCTATTTAAGTATTTGTCAGTGATATTGGAGTAGTGAATGAAACACATATTGATATTGGTAATGATAGGCCACTGTATGATAAGGCAGAATAGGTCAGTGGAGACTTGAAAGGTGTTAATATACATCTGTACCAAATAGTATTGCTTGCTTAAATCTGCTTACTGATAGCATTTCCCAGGTGTGTGTAGAGAGTATGAAATTTTTCAAAGACTCTTGGGAAGCCTATTTAAGTTCATTTCAGACATGCGTTTGTGTTTCTTTAAATTAATGGGAAACAAGGGCATACTTAAAACTAAGCATGCATTTGAAAGCTGGTGGATTGAGGTTATATTTGTCAGGTCTTGGGTAAAACTTCCATTGTCTGAAAAGCATCTCCTTTTTAGTATTTAGAGAGATGCTTTATAATAGGCTTTCACAGTGATCACCTTTGTAATCTTGTTGTTCATCATATTAATTGAAGAAGCTCCTTTCTGATAATCTTTGGCTGCTCAAGATATGTTCCTAAATCATCAAAGACTGAAGAAACTTAGAAAAGACATAATAGATCATCCTGCCTGCTTTTTTGCCACTGTAGAATTATTTCATTGAGAATTTTTTTTGTGTTACGTCAACTTTAGTTTTTAAAATCCCAAGTGAAAGCTTCCATATCTCTCCTTGGGAGACTATTTCACAGGCTAATACATCTCGCTGTCAGGAAGACTTTCCCAATACTCCATTGAGCTTAAGCTTTTTCTTTCCATTATTTCTAGTTATGTCCTTTTTCCTTGATACCTTTTACACATGTTAAATATTAATACTTTTTTTTTCCCCTTAAGAACCTTTTTTCAGTTTATCAGTATCTTTTTGGTTTTGAAAAACCCACCTAAGACCTTCTAAGCCGAGAACTACATTTACCTTCAAACCACACAGCAGTCAGATGCTCACCACAGCATTTTCTTCATGTCCTCTTTCTCAGGGTCCAAGGAACACAGGAGATTCTGAATGAGAAGTCTGATAAGCAGCCTATTTTCATCAGTGATTTGAGATAAGTCCCTTTGCTTTCTTTCTAATTCTTGATGCACAGCTCTTCTCGTCGTTGTGAGTGAGGATCCCCAACTGCTACTTGGTTCTGAATTTCTCACCTCTTGCTGCTCTGCTTCACAGAAAACCTGCATACTGCTTAGTCTTTGTACTTCTGCAGCTTGCACAAAATTCACTTTTTTCTTGTTAGGTGCAACTGTTGAGGTCAGAACTCAGAATACCTCCCAGGAAACAGAAGGCAAGAGAAAGGAGGGTGATGCTCTCCTTAAGTTCGAGGTCTGATTTGGAAGTCCTGGGTTGAATTTTAGCTCCTTATTCAGAAGAAATTGAAATATGTTCATGAAGGGAAATGCATAGAGCCATAACAAGTTTTCAGGGGGATTACTAGTCCTGTGTTTGCATGGTTCAGGGTTGCAGGAAGGGATCCAGCCTGTGCCAGCTCAGAGCACAGGCAAGCCAATGCATTCCTGGCACTGAGAAATAGGTTTTGTTTCTCTGCACATCCTTCCCCTCTGCAAGGAAGCAATTCAGTCTCCTGCTGCATGCTGGTGGATACTGGTGCTATACAGAGCAAAAACTGCAGGCAGCTGGAAAAATTTGCTTTCTTTTTAATGCAACTTTTTTTTGTTTTTATTAGTTATGAGTGTTCTGGCTTGCACGGAAGGGGAAGAAATTGAAATGGCTTACACAGATTTTGGCTGTCATTTCTAGCTTGTTTTCTAAGGAAATGCTGTTTGTCTGTCAAATTTCTCCAATTTTGAACACAAGGAATGTTTGCACAGCTGAAGTCAGTGGTGGTAGAGATCTCATCCCACAGTGGCCTTGTGTGGTGGCTCTGAAATCAAAGGGACACTTTTGGGTGTCCTGGCTGACAAGCATGGCGTGCACCTCAGGGCATCATGACTGGGTAGCACTGGAGCAGCCCAGGAAAGTTTTGAGGAGACAGTGTGGGGAAGGAGGGCATGGATGGGGAGTTTGGTCACTTAGGAGTGAGTCACAAGGCAGAAAGTATTGGTTTTCTGCTCAAAGTACTTGAGCCTTTCCTGAGGAGTTTTCAGACTGTTAGGGATTCAGTGCTTGTTTAATTGTTCTCCTAGAATCAATAGTTAAACTGGCATTGATTTCTGCTGACTTCACATGCTTAGGATTCCAGCTGTACTGTGGAACTTGGGATCTCGGTGTTTCACAGAGGTTTACCTGCCACAGCTCTCTAACACTTCCTGAAATACTGGGGACAGCTTCCCTGAAAAGTGTTCAGGTTGGAAACACCGCTCCAGGTGCCCTTATAGCCTTTGTAGGTGCTACTACCTGCCAGGCTGCTCTTTGTCCATGCATTTTTCTGAGAAAGCCTGGTGGGCTCATTCCCACATATTCCCAGATCTGCATCTCAGAATGGCCACTTGCTGCTATCCTCCTCATTCTGACTATTCCAAGACATTTTTACTGGATATTTTAGCTGAGTTTTGACTAAAATTATTTGCCAAAGAGAATTTTTTATTTTATTCCTTTCTATGTGTCTGATGTCTAGGTGCTGTTATATATATTTTCTTCATCCCTTGCAGTATTTTCTAAATTCACATGTTCTTCAGTTCTTGACAATGAGATCTATTGCTAACACATTAGTGTCTTTATTTATATATTTAATTGCAAATAGATTACTTTCAAATGTATTTCTGAAACAGGTATAAAGAACAATGTTTACAAATAAGTTTCCCATAACTTCTTTTCATTGAGAAAAGGAGTAAAACAGAGTAATGATATTGCACTTCTGCTGACTACTCTGCTTGACTGATTCACAGGGTATTTGCTCTTAACGTGTTGTAGGAGTTAAAAAAAATGTGTCAAACTTTTTTTGGCACCCAGCTCCAGTAGATCCTGTTAGAAGAAACATATGGCCTCACACTAACAGTGTTAAAGCACTGCTGAAGTATTGCATGCACGACATTGACAAATTTCCTCTAGGCTTTTTGTTTTCTGTGCTATTAAGCATTCAAAGTCCACTATTTCATTACCACTGATGATACAGAGAGCCTTATTGACATTCTATCCATCTGTTCATAACATGTATTATTAAATGTGAAGCAACTAGTAGGTAAGAGTGCACTTGCCAGCTGTACAATGAATTCTCAGTAGTTTGGTGCCCTCTATAAATTTTCTAGTATTCTGCCAGTTTCTCAACATAATTTGCAATGGGGATATATCTTTTTTAATGTTTCACATTGTACAGAGAAAAGTTGCTTCAAAAAAATTCTTTACTTTGTTATCCCTAATGTGAAATCCTTAGATATAGTTTCAAAAACCCCAAGAGTCTTTTAATATACAAAGACTGTTGCTAGTATCAGATCTCACTAACCACAATTTCTGGTTGTTGTGGGTTTTTTTGTTTGTGTTTTTTTTTTTTTNGATTGATCAGGCATTTGCAGATCTGCTAGAAACAGAGGATGAGGAAGAATAACTCACTTGGAATATTTAACTTAGAAACAAAACCAATACAATACCAGGGTAAGGTAAAGAAAGAGAAGGATCACACTGCACATTATGGTGAATCTAACAGTAAAACAGAGAGAATGATGACTGGATGAAAAGGCAGGTGGAACATGAGGCTGCCCTGCAGGCTGCCCTGAGACTTCATGCTGATTCAGATCTTGCCAGGAAATGTTAGTTTTTAGTTGAATCAGTAACTGGACAAGGCTGTTATGTTGGCTTCTGATTTTGGTTCAGCAAGAAATACAAAATAACTTCCCTTGTGATTCAAGAGAAAAGCATTATTCAAGCAGATTTACAGATGATACACGTTATTTCAAACCAATTTTCCTTCTAAAAGTATTGCTTTTAACATCCTTTCTAACTTCTGACCTGGGAGAGATGCTGCAAAAAGACAGAAAGGACTTAGATCAACCTGCAAATACCATCAAAACTGTTTAAAAGTTAAGTTAGCTTCCTTTTTTAAAATATCATTTCTACATTTTTCTTTTGGTAAATTTCTTCCCATGCAAGAAAGGCTGGTGCTGTGAGTAACCCAAATGTGTCTCACCTTAGACAGATAATGTTTCCAAACACTTTCAGAGATTTCCATAAAAAAGTTACGTCAGAGGTAAAATAGTTTGTGGGCAGGTCTGGTTTTTTTTTTTTGTTTGTTTGTTTTTGTGGTTTTTTTGTGGTTTTTTTTTGTTGTTTTTTTGTTTTGTTTTGGTTTTGTTTTTTTTTTTTTTTTTTTTCCCCTAGGAGCAGATCTGCTGCATTACCTATGAACAGGACAATGGGGCCCCAATGAGTCACCCTATTCATATATTTTTGGAACCCAGAGGAATTGGTTTGACTATTTACAGATTATAACAGTTGGTAGTTGAATGTTTTATTTTCATTCCCAGTTGGTACAATATGTTCACAGCTGATGCTAATGGCTTGCCCATTTGATATCACATATGGTCCACTATTTGGGTCTCCTAAAGCTTCTTTTGTGGTCAAGCTGCTTTCAAACTTATGTCTGTTTAGGTTTGTTCTGTCTGCTGGGAAGTTGAATATGAAACTCTGAAACTGGGCAGCTTTTGAGTAACTCAGCAGTTCTGTTGATAAAGAGCCAAAGAATTTGAGACGAAATGGCCCATAAAGAATATCACTATATAAAATTGAATAAAAACAAATGTCTTACAACATCATGTGAAATTCTGAAAGAAATGTCCTTTCCTCTTTCTTTGTCTTTGAAGCTGTGATTGAGTTACCCTCCAGTGTATGGATATCACTGAGCATCATCAGGGCTGCTTTTGCTGGATGTTTAGTTATATTGGAAATCAATTTATACATAATTTGTATTGCTTAAATCATCATTTGTATTTTTAGTTGAATATTACTATTATGATAGTGTTTTGTGAAACAATATATGGAAGCAAATTAATTTTTCCTTTGTTTTATAGAATAGGAGCATAGGAAAAGTGAACTAAAAGAATATGGGTACAGAAATTAAAATTACAAGCCTATCCGAAGTTGTTCTCCTATGACACAAAGTGTTTATACTGACTCTGAAACATACTGATAAAACCACAATCTCATAAAAAGATTATTTCCAAAACTATTGCATTACCCTCTGAGAGCTAAAATTCTCATTTATTCGTAGGAGTAGATCATAATAGCTCTAATTCCCTGAGAAGTGGGCATTGTGTGATAATTAAGCAGGGTAGTACATTAATTGTCCTCCACTTCACCTCTAGATGTTTAACTCCTTATCTAGTCAACCAGCAAACAATAATGCTCACTTATTTGTGCCTTACAGTTAAAAAAAAAAAAAAACTAGGTAATTTATTTGAAATAAAGCAGAGTAAGCATATTCATGTAAAAGAGGTATTAAAATGATGTTAGATTACCATTATTAAATACCATTAGGTCGTAGGATGTGGGGTTTATGGTTGTATTTTTCAGCCATGCAACTTTAGCTGAATAAGAGCAATGTGATTTCGCATGCAGGAATATTTTTCTAACAAATGGGACAGATTTAGCAGGTTTTTTTGCCACGTGGCTTCTGCTTTCTGGTGGCCTCTCTGTCACCAATGCCTGTTAGGAGAGCAGGTACGTGTGTGCTGGAAGTGCTGCCTGTGCCTGGCATACCTGGCTCCTGGCGTTGGGTTAAATGAGGCACCTGGTGGTAGGACAGAGGCTCTGGCTTGCTCAGTTTCAGGAGAAATAGTGCATATTGCTGGATAAGAGTCAGCCCTTGGAAGGAGACTGAAATGGAACTGAAGTAGGAGGCTCTTTCAAGTTATTCAAGTCAATATTCCACCTGGAGTACTAGGGAAAGAAAAACCCAACTAAACCAAATGTTTTTGCAAACAAAATTAATAGAGAAGAACTAAAATACTGCCCTCTACTATAAGCAGTTTCAGGGACCTAGAAAATGACAGAGAACTTTAGCATGCTAAGAAGCTCACTTGAAATGTCTTTAAAAAAAGAACTAAGGAAATCAAATTATTAATGAATTATCTCAGGAATGGACTGGGTACCTGATGATGTGGTAAAAAGTATTTGTTAGACAGGACTTGGTCAAAATTTGGTGAAATTTTGGGTACTCTGTACCCAAGAGAGTTAAAGAAGTTAGTGATGTTATCTCTCCCAGCTTATTAGATAGACATGGAAGATTATGCAAAAGTAGAATTTGGATTTACTGGATGCAAATTAAATTATATTCAGGAAAGAATGTCTTTCTCATAAATAGCAGAACTAAGTGTTAGGAACTAGAAACAAAACTGTTGAAAAATTATTTTGGGGGTCTTACAAATAAATCATGAGCCCACAAAACACCGGGAACAGTCACTTGTTTGACTGCGAGTATCTGCCAAAACAAGAGTTTTAAAATGCAAAAGTGGTCATAACTTGGGTACCCTGTGACATAGGAGATCACACAGCATACTCCCAGGAGTCCATGCCCACCAGACTCAGGGTGGCTACGCCTGCTCTGAGCACACTGTGCCAGCCTGGGCATGGTGCTGCAGCTGTGTCGGCAGCACTGGGACTGTGGCAGAGCAGCAGGGAGCTGCCGAGACATCGTGAGGTGTTGAGCCTTGTGCTGTCTCTAACGGCGTGCCACCTTCTCCAGAGGCAGTCACAGCATGTCCCTGTGTGCTGGACATCATGTCCTTCCCTCTGTTGTGTTGACTCTGGCCTCGCTGTGGCCTTGGGGCATTTGGTGTAAAGTTGGAGGACACTCATGTGAAGGTGGGTTTTGCAGTGTACACTCCATGCCAAGGGGATTCTGTTGGAAAGAAATGTTACACTGATTCTAATCTCTGACTAAAAAGATAATTTCTGATGGGTACATGGAGAACTATGTAATTCCTAGGGGATTTTTTTTATTTGTTAATAACTTTTTATGATTATTATTATCATCATTATTGTTATTATAGCATCCAAAACATCTGTGTGCTCTGGCAGAAGCATCTTTCTGTGGTGTCTGTTGTCTCCGGGTCCCTGCAGCTGAGGTGAGTGGCAGTGTTTGGCACTGCCCTGCCCTCGGGGGCTCCTGCCGAGCACACAGCAGCAGCCAGAGCTCCTGTGCCTCCTCAGCTAGAGGCTGGTACCCACCCCAGGCCAGTGATGAAGCTATAGGTCAGACCCTTCCAGAGCCACCAAAATACAGACCTCATTCTGCCCAACACATCATTTTCTTCCCAAAGCAATAAGATCTTTGCAGCTCTCCACTAAATATACTTTCTTCTTGTTTTGACAGAGGAAGAGCCTGAGGCTGGAGCTTGCTGAGAACACCATGTGGAAATGGTTTGCTCAGCTGCCATTGCTCAGCAGGGAAAGTGAGGGGTGGGATGGACTTGATGAAGGCAACTTCATCTTGAAAAACAGTTGATTAGAAAAGTATCATCAAACTGTAATTTATCAGTTCTAGATATGTTTTAGGGAGTCCTGTCTCCTGAATGGGATTAAATTACATATGGTATTAACCCAGAGTATTCTGCAACAATGTAAATGAGTTGTTAACATGGTACTTCATTGCAATAATAATTCAAGGCTACTGGCAGGCTTGATGGGTCTGCAATAAATGTTTTATTATTTAGGAAAAATATACTCTACAAGTTGCTATGTGCCATGCTCATTCATGCTGTAAATCAACAAAGATCAGCAGACTGAATAGGGAAAATGAAAAGCTTATTTAGGAACTGACACAAGCTTTCAGATGAGCAGGAATGGCTGAAGTTAACTGCATTCATTTTTCTTTACTTGTCACAGTTGCCACTTGAATTTCACTGCTAAAGATTGTGGGTAGTTTTGCTTTATGAAATTATATCTATGAAAACAGTATTTGCATTTATATAGGCTTAGTTATAATAAAGTTAAACCTAGCACACCCCCTTGCCTCCGCAAACAAACAAATCAACCAGCCAACCAAAAACCTGTATGTTGAAATAATATTTATCTGTCAGTTTTACTAGATCTGAACAGGATTCAGCTAAATGGTTCCCACTGGCTGCTTTAAAGGCCCAAAGCCTGTGACCATGTGAAATGCAGGCTTGCAGAGCTTTGGCCATCCCTTCAACTTCAGCTCTCCTGTAAGGCTGCCTCTCTCCTCACCAGGGTAAACCAAGGGTTTTCTTTAAAAATGATCTTGATGTGGGATGAGTTAAACCACAGAGTGGGTGACATGGATGAGAGACTAGTAATTCATATAGTCTTCATGACAGAGTTATAAAGTGTCTGAGATGGGCTCCATTATCATCCTTTCATGTTCCCTAGCACCTGAAGACTCTTTCTTGAATTTTGCAGAACATGCAGATCCTGAATGCTGAACACTGGCTTATCTCGAAAACAGTACATGTTTGAACATGGAGTAAAACCCCTTGCAAACTCCCTGTGTTGATGTCCTTAGAGAGATGTGACTTCTTTGGCTGATCCAGGGGAAGCAGAAACCAGGACAAGAAGACAAGTGAGTTAAGATAACTCATCCCATGCCTCTATGTAGGCTTGAAAAGTTTTTTAAGACAGATTCAGAAGTTATTCCCCTGCCCTGACTTATGCACCAGAAAGAATGAAGAAAACATGAAAATACTTTTTAAAGGATTTGCCTGATGATGCCACACCCCTGGCCATAGGTCTCCAAAGGGAAGAAATGCTTTTAATAGGGCAATTAAGCTGGACCTGCCTAATGAGGATGGTAGCAGGGTCTGAGTATATGAGGAGAATGCTTCAGAATCAGACTGGTATGATTATGCACAAGCCTCTGACTGCAGCACTATCCTGAGAAAGCAGCTCATGGATGGAGGAAACAGTAGGCAAAAAACCAGCTAGCAGGGTTCTGTTTAGGTTTGTGCCTGCTGGTGTGTATGTGCTTGAATGTGCATTTATATGAACATGAACGTTTATGTGTGTTTGTCTGTATACAAATGAAGCAATTTTTGTTTCTCTGTAGTCATCTGCATATCTGTTCTGGTTTGTTAGAGGTGCTTGTGTCTGCTACTGAATTGATGCTTTCCTTGGTTGTGGAGTTACTTATTCAGCTACAAGGTTCACTGTCTATCTCAAATATCCATTCTCAGTAGGTCAGTTTGCATGACTTCAAAATACCATGATTTTGTTATAGTGCCCAATGTGCCTACAGGAGAGGAGCCTAATCTTGTAGCCAGCAAAACTGTCTCTGTGCTGAGAAAGCTGCTGAGACTAGAGCTTGGAAATGATGAAAATACAACCATTTTCTGCAGGGGTTGTTCCACTGACTTGGTCTTGTACCTGTTGGGTTGATGTGATGGCATCTCTGGTGTCAGCATCCCGTGGCTAGAAGCAACGTCCTTGAGGCAGATGCTCTGCACTCCAGTGAGTGGTGGTGGGTTGGGTGTGTTCCTCCAGCCCCTGGGACTGCTGGTGAGGCCCTGCTGCTGCTGGGGTGCTGCTGGTTCCTGTGGCTGGACAAAGCTGAGGCCTGGCCTTCACATCTTGCTGAGGAGGCTTCAGTACTCTTACCCTGAATTTCTCACTTTGAGTTTTAAGAATGTACATGATGTGCAAGAAACCCTTGGAAGTGGTGTGCTACCCTCTCCTATTTATTTTGTCAACCATGAAATTGAAATTACTTTGCCCCTTTGGAAATAATGAGTGGTTTGTTTGTGAGAATATGATATGCAAAAAAAAAAATTAATTTGGGGACCTGTCTTAGACTTATTTCAGATAGTTATCTGAAGCTTTTGTCATCATAATCACTTTTAAGAAGGCAAACGGCAAAAGACTCCAAAGAAGTTGCTGAGATAATACACTGTGAAAGGTTTTCAGTTTGCTTTGCTGAGAAAAGTTTTGTTTCTTGAGCCAGCCATTTATATGCTTGGGAAAAGTCCAATTAAGATGACTGAATTGTAAGTGTCATAAAATAGAGAAGGCAGGGGACATTTAATTATATCTGTGCTGCCAGGCACCAATAGAACAAAAGAAAAAATGTTCACCTAAAGCACAAAGTACTGCCTAATACATTTGCTGTAATAAAGAGACAATATATGGCCTAAACACACTCTTCTAAATAGTTCAAAAAGCTGCACCTTCTGATTTCCACGAAGCTGTTTTTCCTATTATCAACACAGTTTAAGAAAAAAATATCTTTTTAATATTGAGACCTTCAACTTTGGTCACAGGTTGAAAAGGAAGCGTCATGCATTAAGACAAAAATGTTGCCTGAGAAAATGGATTTGTGACCCAGAAGAATGTATAATTGATGTGTGTGGTTGTCTGAATGGTAGAATAACAATAGCAACCATTAGAGATGAGAGCTGGAACTAGTCAGGCAGTGAGGCAGGATGTATTTTATAGGTCATCTGGGCTCCATTCAGATCTACAGGTTGTTATTCCTTCTCCATACTTGAAAGCATTTAATAGATTATTATAAAAGGAAAAGGATGTTATGCAATAATGGTTTAAATTGAAGCTCTGTATATATATCTCCACTGTGTGACTTCTAAATGAATGCTTCATTTTTAAAATTATCCCATGACATACTTGAAAGTTTGCCAGAGCATCAACAAATTAAAACAATGAATTGACCAGCAGCAAAAGATCTTGAATAGTACAGTAGAAATTGTTGTTCTCTTCTGTGGCATAGACAATAACAAATAAGAAGTCTCCAAGAAAATTTGTTCCAAAATTGTCTGTTATCTTCAAGGCAGATGAACTGATTTTCTTCTATTTTGTTTCATAATGTTAAAATACAGAATAAAACCACAAAATTTTGGAAAGAGGTTTAACTATCAAACAATCAAAGCCAAAAGCATGTAATAGCGAAGTCAAATTCAGATTCCCTTCTTGCCTGGAAAATGCTTCTTTCATATCAAAATTGATACAAGTTAAAGGGTGGAGAATCTTTTGTGCTTTGTTTCACATGAACATAAAAGTTTTATTCCTGCTTTTAATGGGTAGTATTTTACAAATGTAATGGAACATAATTTTACCAGATTTCCCTAAGGGAAAGTCATGGCATGATTACATAGGCAGTCCCATCTCATTTAGTATAATGCTTACAATATAGATGCAAATATACTTATGTAACTCAAGTTAGAGGTAGATTGAATAGCACTCAGATAATCATAGAGCAGTGCAGATGCTGAGGAAAGTTTTGCAGAAGAAATATGCATTGACTGACTGGTCCCTTGCAGCCACACATGCCCCTGGGTAATGTTTTTTTGCGAGGGAGGCAGAAAATTCAAGCTGTGCCAGACAGAAGTGCCTGGCGTGTGTACAGTTTGCTGCTTGAGGATGGGCGTTTTAGCTTGTCCCTGCTGATAGCACATCCTGGCGAGCAGTGACAGTGGTAGACCAAGGGGATGGGGACCCTTGTGGCTTGCAGTGCTCCCAGCAGCAGGGACAGCCTGGAAAGGGAAACATCCTCTCCTGGGCAGAGCCCTTGCACTGCCCTCAGGGAGCGGGCTGCAGGGTGGGGCACAGGGGCGCTCCCTGGGCATGGAAAGAGGTTTGAGGCTCCTCTGGTGGAAGCACAGAATAACATAGCTGGGATTATAAGGATGACAGTGTGCTCTCCAAACTCCTTGCACAAAGAATTTTTCAGCTAGAGATTAAATAAATCTTTCGATTGTGAATAATAATGATTTAATGCAATGTAGTGCATGGTGTAATTCTCACACTTTTGGTATAAAAAGCAAGTAAAAATCTGTGTTACAAGCTAGTAGGAAAGGTCTTATATTTATGGGAGTTGTAGGAGTGCTCTTTCTGGGGTGGCTTGTGCATTGATGAAACAGAGATCTGTAAGAAAAGTGATCTCTTTCTTCTTATATGGAATGATTGAACAAATTTAAAACTTTACTATTTAAAATTTTACTAAAAAGTAATTTCTAGAGTTCTTCTGTAGGACCAGTGGCAGCAGAACTGCTGCTTCTGCACCAGGTGTGCAGAGGTGTTGCTGTAGCTGGCATGTGGATTGCAGGTGTGAGACCAGCAGTGCCTCTGGCAGCTACTGCCTCTTTGGGTAGGCAGATTCCTTTTCATTCTTTCTGGGGAAGATCAAGAATTAACAAAGGCATAAAAAAAATGAAGCTCAACATCTCTCTGTGCTAGATTTCTTTTAAACTTTCCCTCTGTCAGTGTTAATATCTCAGATCTGTAGGTAATAGCAATAGATAGATTAGCAATAGATAGATTTTTGCAGGCAATCTATGTTGCCTGTATGTGCTGTGGAGAAAACTGAATATTGACAGTATTTGGGGAATTAGTTGCCTTTAACTTTGCATTTTAGTTAGAGCTCTCTGTTCACTGGCGTATTTGGAGCCAAACTATCTTTTAGCAATCAAGATGAATCTTCGCTGAATGTATTTTTGCTTTATTTTCTTTGGATTTTTATTTGCCACATCTCAATTACCTGCCAATACTCAGAAATGTAAATTGTATCAATTTCATTTTAGTCAAGTGTAAAATTTATCATCCAGATAAACTAATATCAGAGTCAGTATCAGACAGTTTGCTCTTCCTTGCTCATTAGTTAGCATTTCATCTGTGAGTGTGGGATGGATAAATTTCAGTGTGCATCTGATTTAACCTCTAAAAATGTATCTTGTCATAGTTTAACTGCAGACAGTAGGTAGGTACCATTTAGTACCTAGTGGGACAGGGAGGGGAATCAGGAAATAGGTAAACCTCATGGATTGAGATAAGAAGAGCTTAATAATCGAAATAAAGTTAAAAAAAAAAAAGTAATAATAGGAAAAAGAGAGGGGTTTAAAGAAGTTCAAGTGATTCACAGTAGAGCTGTTCACTACTGTGTGATCGATGCCCAGCTCATCCCCAGGCAGTGATCAGCAGCTCTTGGCCAACTCCCCCCAGTTTATTTACTGAGCATGTCCCTCTGTGCTGTGAATGTCCCTCTGGCCAGCTTGGGTCAGCTGTACCAGCCTCTTGTGCACCTGTTTGCTGGCAGAGCATGGGAAACTGCAAAAGCTTTCATTTACAGTAAGCACTACTTAGCAACAACTAAAACATCAGTGTGTCACCAGCAGTATTCTCATACTAAATCCCAAACACTGCACTGGACGTGCTTGGAAGAAAATTAAGTCTCTCCCAGCTGAAATCAGGGCACCTCAGGTGAGTGACATGGGTACTCCAGTACTGTGCCAGCCCAGCTCAGACAGAAGGACAAAAATGCCTTCCATCCAAAATTTGTCCCATGAGAATTTTTTGTTTGTCTGTCTTTTCATGTTTAATAAGACATTTCCAGATGGACTGTGATACTGAATTCAAGTTTTGCTTCTTTGTTTGCTTTTCAAAATTAGCAACATCTTAGGATGAGCACTGCAGTTGGTGATCCTGTCAGGTGTCCCAGGTTCCACACCTGCTGCTGGCATTTTCTTCTGCTCTATAAAGGGTGCATCTGGTTTTGCTGTTTGTAAAACAACTTTGTCTGTTTTATATAGGACATTTGTAAACAAAGTTAACTTGTAATTTGGTTTAACATCAGTAGAAATTTGCTAAAGGAGTCTTTTGGTACTAAGGCTTGTTCCATCTGTAGGAAAATTCAGATAAATTAAGGATATATGTGAAGCAAGTGCACCAAGCCTACAGTGCTTTAAGCTCCTCTGTGGATGATCTAATTCAAAAGGAAAATGGCTGTAGTTCATGGTAGCTTAATCCTCTTTACAGTAAAGTCAGACTACTTTGCCTCTCAGTGAGAATATCCACAGAGGGATTTAATGCATTTTGACTTACATGCATTATCATCATGGGTTTAGTTGGTTTATCTTAACTTCCCTGGATGTTCCTTTGTAGAAAGACTACAGACATAGATATCTAGTGTTTGCTTATTTTAAGCATAGTCATGTAGTCATGTCTTTAATCTGATATGGCTTTTAGTGTATCCATGTTAAGTGATAAGTAAGAACCACTTTAAGGGGTTCATATACATTCTCATCCCAAAGGATAACAAAGGTAGTTCTTTATTTGTGACTGTGCTACCCAGAAATAATTGAAAAGTCTCTGTAAGTGGTTAGCATCTGCTTGCATGCTGGGTACTGCAATGCCAGTGACTCCTCAGACACAATTATGAATTCTGGAATTTGAAGCTGAGGCTCAACAAAATAATTCAGGTGATTACTCTTATCTCAGTCTGTCCTCTCTGCTGTTTTGCAGGCCAAAGATAAAAGGATACAATACTTTGGATGAACCTTGCCTCACATGGTTGTAAAATCAGCAGAGTGCTGGAACACCTCTCATTTTGTGTGGAGAGATTCAGTCCTATACCTGATGGGAAGGAAGGGAGGAGAGAATGCTGACTAGACCTTTTTCCAGTCCTTGAAGCAGTTTTCTTTGAGAGAAGGACATTTTCATGCCAGACAGTTGGCAAGGCTCAGCTGGACAAGACAGAGTTGGAGACATGCAATGCTGTATGGTGTCATCAGAACTAAAGATTATCAAAGTCTTCTGAGCAGATTTCACTCTTCAAGTGAACAGAACACACCAGGGATATCCTATGGCAATGAGAGTCTTTGTTCCAGCTCAACTGACTCAACTGGCCATACTGCCTTTTATCCAGGTTCCTGTTGTCATCACATGACAGAAGATGCAGGAAGCACTAGGAGCTACACACAAGAGGAGTAAGGAATTCTTTGCAGATTTTTAAAACTCTTTTTCTTCTGCAGCCTTGTTTGAGTAGTTTACTTTACAGTGACTTTGGCTTGAAGCTGAGGGCACTAACAAAGCTGTTATATAAAAGCATTATTGGTATTTGAGGAATTAAGCCTATGTTTCAGGAGTTCAAGTTTGCTGTGTCTTATGTTATTTTTTATTTTAGCAGTGTTTGTGTACCATGCTTTTTTGAGTTAATGCATAACAACTCAAGTCAGTTAAAAGTCTGTGGCATTAGTGAAACTGTGAACCACATAAAAGACTAAATTGCTTTTTCTCTTTCTGTAATTGCCACTACAATAAAAGCTGCCTTTACTGTAAAATTTTTCAGAGTTAACCCCTGCAGAGCTCCCAGGCTGATGAGGAAGAAGTGTGATTAGGGGTGTGTAAAAGGGGGAGAGCAGCTGACTAACAGTAATTAGGGGTGCTTGAGGGCTGTAGGCAGCAGAGGGCAAAACTTGCAACCACACACCCCAGGTCCCAGATGAATTGCAGTGCAGTGACAAAGGGTCAGCTGGGGTCCCTCAGGACAGCAGCTTTGGCAACCCTGCCCTGCTTGCATCCTTTCCAATTGCCCAGCTGAACACGCCAGGGAAGGATGGGGAGGACATGCAGTAGATAGACAGCTATGACTGCAAGCAAGGAGGGAAAAAGGAATAAATTTTTTTGTATATTCTTTATGGCTACTGTTTTGAACAATAATATAAATACTGGGGAATGGGAGGGCAGGTGGGTCAGTCTCCTTACGTGTGCCTGTGGGCAGAAGTTTCAGCCAGCAAAGTAATGGAAGGATTTGATGGATGAGCAGTATTTCCTGTGAGATAGGTGTGCCTCCATTATGGTAATTATGCCATCCTTCTACCAGTCCTAAATATAAACAAATCTCCTTTTACAGAAACAGCAGCAATGTGTGCTTAAGTATAATAATAAATAAATCTTTGTAATAATTCAGTGCCATATATGGGTAATGTAATACATTGCAAAAGTTAAACAGAGCACCCATTAGAGGTATACAGGCATTGAATTAGTTTTACAAATCTAGTTTTGTTTTTAGAATATAATAAAAATGGCATACCATTATCATCTGAGGGACTTTGCTAGGGAAATTGAGCATACTTCACTTTGTCAAACAATCCAAATACTACCACTGATGGTGAATACTTCCCCTGCTTTTGAGTTCCTTTATGATTTGTCCTGTTTATTGTTTATTTTTTCTTTTTCTTCCTATTAGAATAGAATAATAATTTTGAAAGCATGGAAATAGAAGATTTTTAAAGTGTCTTAAATATAATTTTGTCTGGATAAAGGTTTGAAATGAGTAACATGCTGTTTTTAAAAAGGTTGCTAATTATCTGAATTTCACTGTGGTTTAATTAGCAGCATCCACAGTAAAACGTGGGAGGTGGTGCTTATCACCTGCCAAGGAAAATGTTGTCTTTTGAGGAGGGTAAGTTATGTGAACCAAAATACAGCCTGATTTTAAATCTCCAATACCATTCCCTTCCAAATCTTGGTGGGCAAAGGTGATTGAGTTTTAAGTGATTAAGAGTGGAGAACACAAGTATTAGTGCCATGACTGTCTCTGGGGAGGTCTGAGAGCCACCAGTATCCTGGGTGCTTGCTGTGGAAGGGGATGGCTCTCGCTGAGCATTGCAGCCAGCAGCTCCTCACAGCTTGAGCAGAAATTAAACCACGTGGCAGTGTCAGTATTTCTGGTAAATCGTACTCTGTATCAATGTTATGCCGTCTTTGTTGTCCTTGTTAGCTGTTTTAATAAATGGAGCCTGTAATTATCTTTGAATGTATCTGATAGGTAAAGGAGCTGGTACAGGGAGAGGTCATTTGTTACGGACAGCTCTGCCCAGAGCAGCTGCATGCATGGAAATGCTGGAATTGCCTTAATGAGATGGCAGTTCTGAGCTGGAAGTCACTAAGGTCAGCAGAAAGGTGGCATTTAATGTCCCCTGGATCAAACAAAACAAGGTTGAATCCTTACCTTAGGTTAGACTTGGTAAAGTTTCTGTAATCCAATATAATAATTTTATTGCCTGCTCTGTGAGTTTCCATCTTTGTTCTTCCTCCAGAAGGTGAGATGCAGAAAGCTGGTAGCCAGGTTGGATGCAGTTATCTAATAGTTAATATTTTAATGATTATTTCACTTTCACAAAGGTGTTCTGGTCTCCTTCTGTTTAGAAATGGCAAGGAGTGTAAAAATGTATTTCTGCTTTGTAATGTAAAATGAGACATTCATATTCAATTAACAGGATTACAGACTAAAAGTTATTTTGGACTTTATTATGGTATCCACAGTTATTTCAAATGTATTAGGTAAATGAGAAAAGCTAATCTGCAGGTTATAGGTAAATTATTTTTAATTGAGTCAATTCATGAAAACTAAGTCAAGAAGAAGACAAAAAAAAAGGCTTTCTATTAATTATTTTGATATTTTTGTGATAAGCACACAGTTCCAGTCTGTGTAGTGGTACTGTTTAGTCTTTCTGTAGTCCAGTTTATTTTTCCATGGCATGGACACACATAGGTGCACAGTACTGGTCTACTGTGGTAGACTTTATTCAATGCACCAGGTGCATCTGTGGAAATGGTGTAAGATTCAGCGAGCCCCATACACCAAAATGAAATCCTTCAGACATTCAAGGAGGTATAGAAACATCATTATCACAGGCTGAACATTGTTTTTCGGAAAAGCCATCTTTTATGACATTCTGATTTTCAAAGCATATTTACAAAACAAACTGAAGAGGAAACCTGCAAACAAAAAGCCCCCATTCTAGGAAATACCAAAAGGCAGGGACCACGTAATTTGGCATTTTTCATTCCCTTCCTGTTAGCTTTTCACTTTTCACTCGTGTCCAGCTATCTCTGTTGTTCTCAATGCTATCCCATGGGAGTGAGTGACTCGGGCATGGCACCCTGTGCTGTGGCCATTTGCTGCTCCAGAGGTGCTAATTGTCCCTTCCTCTCATAATGTCTAATTGATCATATAATAACTTCAACCCAGACCACAGCTTTCCAACATGCTTTTGCTGCAGATTGAAACCTCTGTTTCAGACCTATAGAATGGCTGCTTTGCTTGTGTATTTACCCCCCCCTCCCCAACTCTAATAGTTGGTCTCATAAAAGATATTACTTCTCTCCATAAACCTTGACTGTCTAGCCTGCATTTGTATTCCTTGGGGGCAGCAAGCAGGAAAACAACCTATTCAAGCCTGGAGTTTCCTTATAGCAAAAAATTGTAGCTATTGAATTATAGTTTTAAACATTAAACTACTTCCTTGACCCTATTCCACTGTATTTGAGCATGCATTGGTTTTAAGAACAAAACAGAAGTATTCCCAAGATTTTCCAGCCTGCTGCTGGTCTGAGTGATCCAGAAGATTCAGAAGTCCCATCAGGGAAGTGCTTGAATGCTTTGGCCGTATTTTAGTGGGAGGCTGTGAGGGACATAAAAGTCCTGTTCAGATATGGGGGACCCCAACTCCAGCTGGGGCAGGAGTCCCATTGTGACAGTGCCAGCGGTGTCCCAGAGAGGCCAAAAGGTATACAGGGTGGATGGGATAATCTGTGCAGTGCTGGTGCCTGGCCCTTACCCTGATGTGTCCCCTGCAGGGAGATGGGAGCAGAGAGGAATAGAGCATGGCCATGTCCATGGCTGTCCCCAGGATCACCAGTTATGAGAATTGTGGCTTTGCCTTTATAGGCCTGTTTTTGCATTTGGCTGTAGTGTGAGGCACAGACCAGCTGCTGCATCTCTGTTCATGGGCATGATTTGCTTGTAGGAAGTTGACCGTGGTATCCTTTGCACAGTTCTTAGCCTTTGGGTGCAAATATCTGGAGGAGTGGGTTTCCCCTTAGTGTTATCTAGGCTACTCTAGCTAGTCAGCCTTGCCAGGTGAAAAATCTCTAGGCCATTTCTTAAACCAGACAATAAAATATGATGCAACAAACTAAGAATGGGTCTGAGCCCATGCTAGGACAAACTTCTGGGTCATTCAAAGCAGACTTTATCATACTGAAACTGGTAGTTTGGAATGTGCTCAATCTATCCATATTTTTTGAAAGTGACTTTATCAATTGGTTGCCTTTAACTTCTGACAAGAGACATTGATGTAATAGATTGGTAAAGTTTATGACTCATGAAGGTATTTGCTTCACTCACTTGTAAATTCTAGTGCAAATGTGTAGTTCGTCTGTACTCAACTGAGAAAGAAATGGCAGTGTACAAAGTAAGTAGAGCAGATTAATTAAATTGGCTGTTCTTGTTAACTCTTTCTGCTACTATAAAAGCTAGCAACATTACGTAAGATTAAAAGGTGACAAGATAACGAACTGTGATTGCTCATTGCTGTAATATGTTGTGGGATAGTCTAGATTGATACTTAATTCAAAACATAATTAAACATTTATATAAATGAGTGTTCATTATGTTAAGAAGCATTAAAACATGGTTATAAACACTCTTTAAGTAACTGGCCAGCCACACAACATTGTTTTGACTATTACTCTTCATTAGACAGTTTTCTTTGTGGATTTTAGCAGTATGGTTGGAGTGTGTAGTGGTGTCTGATATGAGGTGGTGAGCAGAGAGCCCCAAGTCATGCAGCACAGTCCCCACCTGCCTGTGCAAGGGGCAAT